GGACAACTGAAGTCTGGCTATGTATCTGCTAAGAAGAAATCTATAGTTAAAGAACAAGGAAAGTCAGAGAAAGACTGAGATCACCTTTAACTAAATGGTGTAACAATCCCTAAAATGTAAACGAAAACCCCTAAGCATAAATTGAAAAGTTCAGTGTTCAAAATGGAATAGAAGAGGGATGCTCTCAAAACTTCTGCCTTTAAAATTAGCATCTCACATGCAGTTAGCAATTTTACTGTGGAACTGCAGCTATGGACTGTAAATTCATTTTTTCAGATCAGCAAAATAAACCAAAATTAATTTACAAAAATTATTTCTACCAACTTGTAATCAGCTGCAGGCTTTCCCTAACAGAGGCCAACGGGAAGTACAATAGTTATTATCTAAACTGTATATCCACACTCCTGTACTTGAAGGAACACAATCCCAAACTGCAGAAATATAGACAAAATATTAAGACTATCTCATTAATATACCCAAATTTCCCATAGGAAAGCCACAATCCACACCACATCATCTGAAACGCAATGGCTATATGTATGGCCAGCCACTGAAAACATCTTGCCACTAAACCACCCACTGACTAATCAACAAGCCTGCCCAGTACGCTATTTTACATCATTGATAATATCTTTAGGGATGAAATTAAGTGAATTGCAACTACAGATTAGCTGAGAAGTGCAAACTGATGTCAGTGCAGCTGCTATTTATCCACCCAGTGGCCTGAAACCTGGAGCTTGCAAACCTCTGCATGAAAGGAAGTTGCACCCAAACAACTACAGTAACGTCATCAGTGGGGGTGGGTGTTACTGGGCTGAGAGTCAGAGAACAGTTTGATTTTCAAAATTCCAAAACCACCTCCAAGCAGTTTCTTACCCAAGTTCTTCCCTAAGAGTCTCAACCCGGGCAGTTCCACTGACGTTTTATGCATGCCCTCTCCTTAGGTTTTGCTTTTCACATTACTACCAACACAGCAATGTTATTTACTGACTGCATTTCCACCATTAATCATGGAAATATAATAGTAATGGGCTGATATATTCCAAGCGCCGGGCTGCAAGCTAACTGATGAATGAAGAAAGTCCATAGCCGTTCATGGGGAAAATGGCTTCGTTTCTTCCATCCAGTTTCAACAGGTCTGGCAGGCTCAGTTGGCAACTGAGCAGAGTTGATGCCAACAGTTGGCATCTGTGCAGAGATGTCAAAGACTAATTTTTGAAATATCATGTTATTAATGAAAACACCAAATAGCTTAGGGGCTGTGACACCAATCATAAGATTGGTGAAGCTAACCATCTAGCAATAGTTAGCATCTGTGCCCACAAGATATTACATCTTCCAGTTGATTTCAGAGGGCAAAAATCTTTGCAAGGTTTGCCATCCATGCAAGGTTTCCGCACCTGGTGATGTTACTTCACTAGAAAGTTACGGCCCAATTTTCAACAGCAACAACTGAACACTGTTGGTAATTGCCAGGCAAGAGTTTTGCAGGCTGACGCTAATACAGCACAACCTGGTTTATCATGACTTAAGTGCAAAGAGCATTTCACCATGTCCAGGCTGCGGACTCTCTATCACATACCTGAAATCAGAGTTGTCACTGTTAGCCAAGTACTGCCAAAAAGGAAATACCTTTTGATTTCACACAAAAAGGAAACAGGAAGTCTGGTACGTGTCTGAAACATGTCTGTGCACCACAGACTGTAAACATTCAAGGTGGAAATATTCAAGATATTGGAGTGGCAGATGAGCCCACCAGCCAGCAGCAACCAAGGGTACATGGCAGGGAAAGGAAAAGCCAGGAGTGCTGGGATGGGGTGTCAGGCAGAAAAAGATGCTGAAGAAGCATCAGCGGGTTTGCTGGCAAGGAAAACGGGTAGTTAAGACGATGAGCAGCTGGAGTGGGAAATATCAGCCAATCCCAGTTGGAAGATGAAGAGTAATTTTCTACTGTTATTTCAATTAAAGGTACAGATGAGCATTTGTGCTGAAACCTGGAACAGAATTTCAGCCCTTCTGAGTGATGACTGGAACCCGACCCCTCCAGTTGATGGGTCTTTGGTCTTCATCAGTTTGCTTCTCCCACCTTGAAAGCTGTCTCTCAAGAGGAAGAAAGGGCTATAAGTTTTAGCCTGAGACTGACTCTTTAGAAGCCATCACTCTTTGGGATTTAGTTATTCAGTAGTGAAAAGTACCAATTTACTGATACAGTGATGGAATTTCAAACTAAATTGATCGCAATCAACTTTTTCATTTTCTTTTAAACACATACATTTCCAATACTTTGCAGTGGAGCTTGATACACTGTATTCAGAAATGGTTATCTGTAGACAAGTCAGAGTATGGCTTAAGTAGATAACAAAAAAGAAACTCCGCTTGCTACTCACAGCAGACGTACTCCTTCAACTTCTGTGAAAACTGCAATACGACCTGCTTACAGTTTCACCTAGCTCGAAGTCTCACCTCCTTCCACAGACCAACATATGCTAAACACATAAGAATCTTTTCCAGCATGACTGTCAGTGATTGCTGTGTTTAATGCTAGCGGACAATGGAACTTAGACCATATAGGAAATAAACATAAATGTTAATTATCTTGCTGGAGATGAGAAACAAGATGACATCTGGAGCTGGCAGTATTGTAAACAGGAAAAAGGTATGAGAGCTACTTAGCTTAGAGGTTTATAAATACCAGATATACTCATCAGGACGAGGTTGGCAGGTTAAGAAAGGACAAGTGCAACTCTGTAATAATAAGCGAGTGAGAGAGACAGAAAGGGAGCGTATGTGAAATTATTTCTGGGAAGACCATTTTTGTCTGAGACAATTTTAATTATGCTCTTTATTGGACAGATGCTCAAAGTGGTAGGAGAAATCTGCCTTGGTTTATACACTGCCACAGTTTACCTGATTCTCTTTGCTAAAGCAATAAAAACACAAAGACTGGGACCACCATGGCAATGTGGCAGAATGCAGAGCATCAGCCCCACAAACCTCCCCAGAGCACCATAGCAAAGTCTTGAGCCGCATCCTGCAAGTATTTATGCACAAACGGAACTTCATGTACTGTGATTAATTTTCCTGACACCATGTGGGTTTCATTGCAGCACACAAAACCAAACACAGACTTACGTATTTTTAGGATCAGGACCTACTTAGCACTAGTCAGCCATGATTTAATGTGTCTCTACTTAATGTGCGGCTTACTAAATGTGAGAGAATTCTGTGTTTTGGTACAGTTTGGGTTTTTCCCCAGAACAGCATATATGTTGTTTCAACATTAATGCTGGAAGTTAAATATTCTGTAGTCACTAATGTTTATTTAAGCAACTATAATGTTGTTTAATGCAGCTGGGAATGGAGGTACAGTAGCCTCATATTTAAAAGCATGGCTTTTTATATAACATTAGAGAGCTCTAGTGGGCATGTTGCCCATTTCTGATACCCTAACAGCTTCTATTCTTCACAGGAGTTAATGTTCTAATCAGAATGCATCTGTATAACATTCTCCTTGTGCTGATCAAGTATCAGCAATTCAGTGATTACCTTCGGCATCCCACTGCATAGGCTAGGCCAGATTATTCAAATATCCTCTGGTGGAAAAGATAATGTGGCTTTTCTAATCACAAAATACTGCCATACAAAAACGTTATGGTAAGAGCGAACATCAGGGATGTACAATAAAAAGGCAGAAAAAGACCTTCTGTTGCGCTGCAGGAATATCATTCTGTGGATTGTGCTTAGTGCAACAATCTAGATGTAGACGAGCATTAATATTCACAAGATACATAGGTAGTCCAGCATCAGTCTTTGCAACCTTAGAAGTCATGCATACACGTATGTATGCATGCCCTCCTGCACAGGTCAAGAAAGATTCCTATTACGGCATTTAAGCTTTGCAAAGTTGGAGGCAAAGGTTTCTAACCTTGGCAGTAAGCGCCTAGACTACAGTTTGTGCTATGAAGCGGTATCATTCAGGGTAGGATACAGATAGGATGTAGTGTCCCTTAGTTGCAAGCCCAATGCTCACCAGCTATAATGGGAATCTCTAGGGTGACTTCCCAGAGAAACAGTTCAGACTTCCAGTAACACTTCAGAAAGGTATGTACATTCACACAAAAAAAAGAGGAAAAAAGAGGCAGGAACAACCTTCTCGGAAACACTTAAAGACCTTAATGTAATGTAAAATAGTAAGCAGTGCAGTTACTATTAATTACAATACCCTTCAGCTATTTTTTCAGTTATCTGCTGCAATGCTAATCACTGATTCAAAAATCAACATTTCACATGTCCAATTCTAAAACTGTTACTACGTTTGAAGAGTAGCATCTGAAGTTAGGGATACTTTTTTTTAACTATTCATGATTAGTCAAGTTTAACTCTTCATATTTTTTCATATTTCACCTGCTTCTAACTGAACATGAAAGAATTTGTATGTGACATTTATTGTCCATCATGCAACCTTCTGCTCTACTTTTAAATATTCAACACCTTTTCCGGCTGTAGAGGTTGAATTATACAATGAAACGAAAAAAATTGAAGTTTTAACCCTTACCATTCTTATAACTTTAGAAATACTCAGATTTCAAAGTTAGGTTATGTATTGCCAATATGACAAATTTAAAAGCAGTGCGTATGTAACAATACTGACTTCTGCTTCTGACCCAGGATTTGTTTTCTCCCAAGAAGATATGCAGTGCACAGGACCGGCCAAAGACCACTGAAATCAATGGAAAGGCTACCGGTGACTTTGATGGAATATGGATCGGGCTTTGAGCGTAACACTGTTGACTTCATTGACTCATTACAAGGGCTGAATTTGGCTTTGACAGACGTAAAGCGGTTCACCTCATGTACATTTAACAAATTGCATACATTTTAACCCCACCCTTCCACTCCCAGGAATTTAGTGCATTTTGTTCTGCTAGCTCTGTTAAGGAGCCCCAGCACTTGCACACATAGAATGAATGACTGAAACACATACAGTGGTTTGTACTTACAGGTGTCTGGCTTGAGCTGACTGTTGGTAATTCCAAAATACTGGGGATTTTCTATGACGGGAATCTTCGTCATCCCAATAATGACTGCGTCAGGACCCCCCTCAGAAGAAGACGGAGTGTTACTGCCATTTGAGATGTGGTGGAGGGGACTGGCTGAATCGTCGTCATTGCTGATAACTGAAGAAGGACCTAGAGTTAGAAACAAAGATCTTCCTGTAACTCAGAACATGGTTCCCTTCCCTCAGACAATTCCCTTAATTCCATTTTTTTTTTTTTTTTTTTGACCAGTTTGTCCTCCATCCCCAAAGTCAACAGCTCTCTGTGTGCCTTGTTGACCTTACCTCAGGAATTTTATATGTCTGAGTGCAGATGGAGAACAGTGGGTTTTTTCCATTAGGAGCTGGAATGTGAAGCAAATTTTTGTACTGGTGGATCACCTAGACTAAATATGTCAGGGTCCAGCATAGTCTGTCACTGGGAAAGATCTCCAAATTTGTTGAACTCCTTCTGTCATTCTCAGAAATAAGCTATGAAATACACACATTAACTTTTTTATCTTATGCCCTACTTGAATCACACAGCAATAATTCCCACAAATCCAGGGAATGCCTGCCCTCCCTTTGAGGTGGCATTATAACAAGACAAAAGACACAGAGGAGATGGGCTCATCCTGATGTGGGAAGCTGGTAATTTCTGAAAGACAACACCATCGAGAGCCAAAATCCAGGGGACAATTTGAGCAGTCAGGGAATTGCACAGAAGGCGCGGAGCAGACACTGAGAAGAGTAGTGGGAAAGACACATCCTACCCCACTGCAAAATCTGGGGTCATGGCGGAGGGGCTCATCCAACCCAGGGGAACATCCCACTGGCTCCCCCTATCCATACCTAAGTCTAGTCACCTTCCAAAAAGAGGTTTATTTTGGTCAGTAATTCAGTGACAGTTTTTGTTTTGTTTTCACCCTGTGCTTTATATTTTTTATGAAAGAGCCATGGAGATAAAACCTTGTAAATGGGTAAAAAAAATCCTGCTTAGCATAGTGTCCCACTTCTGTGAGCTTCAGGGGCCTTTGATCTAACAGCGAGATCAGCACAGGTAACGTGAACTCTTGCCATCTAACCCTGCCATTTAAATTCCACATTACATCTTGCAGTTTACATCCAATATTCAAAGAAAACCAGAATCACCATTTAGCAGCGACAACATTTTGCATAACCTCCCCACTGAAGAGCCAGCAGAGATCACACACGTCACATTTCACTTCATTCTCCATCCGTGTTAATCAGGGGTTTTGGGGTGGCATTCACATCTTCTAATTGTAACAATCAAAAGACGATGCTAGAAACAGATGGAAAAATTTGCCCTCTGGAAGTGCCTATCCTGGAATGGCATCCTCAGACAACACCTGTGTTTAGCCCGTGGGCAGCAGTGACAAATGTTCCCCCAAAGAAGGGGGGCAGCAGAGAGGACCTTGAGGACAACGAAAAGCTGTGTTTACTCCAAGTCGCCAGTCACCCTGCTGCAAAATGCTGGAGCCCCAGATTGAGTTTTAGGTTGGACAGAAGGAACAGCGCAGAGGCAAGACAGAGCTGAGTAACCCGCCACATAGATGGCATCTGTGTCTGCAGGAGAGACGGGGGATGCAGAGAAAGAGAGAGAATGGGGACCAGCAGCAGGTCCTGTAGACACATCATTGGGGACGTGAGAGAAGATGGGCAGGATCCACCATAGCACACACACAGTTAAGGAACAAAATGAGAACTAGGAGAGTCCCAGACATGGCAGCCAAGAAAGGGCAGCTTTAAAGAAAAGAAATTCTCACGGTTTTGCGGCTCACTATATCGTTAACAAAAACACTTTTCATTACATGGCATGGCTCACAGGAATAAAACTTAAATAATTTGGCATGTAGCTATTCAACCCTACCTTTAGAGACTCAAGTGTACTCCCACCCCTGTCCTGCTTTCCTTTCTCCCCAGTTGGTTTAATGGTGCATGAGGGAAATGTTCTCATAGTTTGAAAAAGTACTTCCCCCCCTCGCCTGCAACATTAGAGGTAATTTTTCAAATACCTTGCACTTCACTGGAAAGTCACTGTTGACAAATGTAAGTGAAGCCTAGATCTCTGCAATTTATCAAGTGAAATACTAATACCAAGGCTGGTTTTGTCATTACTGATCACCCAGATCCTCAAAAGATTGATTCTACTAGGAAAGCTGCCAGGATTAAGAGTTTTTGGTGAAGATTTCTCTAATGAAGTGCAGAGCCTAACAAACTGTGGGAAAGGGTCCCTCAGATGGCACACAAGATACTTAAGTGGAGTCACAATACATTTTTCAGGTGCATGAGAGTTGTGTGTAATGGCATTAGAGTGCAAAACCATTTAGAACCGCAATTTTTTCTAGACATCATCCTTACGTCTCTAAACGTTCTGAATGTCAAGCTAATGGCTCCAAAAAGCAGGCTGACAAATAACACATTTTCTTGGGAAAATGAAGTCCTTTTATACTAGTATGGCTTAGTCTGAGGGTGAAATCCCTTCTCTTACAGCAAATGGGCAAATCCTCTTGCAAATCTATTTAGTCAATTAGGCTAACTGGTAAAAACTAGTCTTTAGTGTGCTACGAAGCAGACTGCAAGTATATTCAAGCTCTCTGATGTAGGTGACGAAAACCTGGAAAATGAGGTGATTTCCGAAGCAATTCCTGGCAGTATAAGACAGTTTAAGAAAAATTCAACTCTGGGAACTTCATGCTGTGTCACTTAGTGATCCCTCTCACTTACTAGCAAGTCATCAGCTCATGCAATGGTCTTTAGAAGTACTTGTTTGGGTTTAAAAATCCTATTTCCTGTATATTTCTTCTCTAATTAAGACAATGAGAACTCAACAGATGGAAATTTTTGTGTATCAGAGGCAGTTGAGCTCACATCCCTTTGCTGGGACCTTTTCGTCAACATGAGCAAACTGGTACATAAACTGATTCCACACTGGCTTATTTGCCAGACTAGCCACTTATCATAAAGTTACATTTCATTTTTTGAATGCACTAAGTCACATTGCAATTACAGGCTAGCATTGCAGCTGGCTATGACTGATATTCTGGTAACGCAAAACCATTTTCCAGGATGCAAGATGAGGCCATCACCTGTGCTGACAAGAAGCTAGAGCTGCCCTTTTCTGAATATGCACTGAGCTCAAATTGAAGGGTAATTTCTTAAAGCGCCTTAAAGTGTGGTTTTATCCAGATGAAATGGGGTCACTGAATTACTTGTCAAAGGCAGAATGAGTATGATAATTACCCTCCGTCACCTATTACTGATTCTGGTTTTTATAAAACCTGCTGTTGATTTCACACGTGAAATCTGAAAATTTTAGACAAAACGTCATTGGTGGGAGTGAAAATCATGGGTTGTCAATAGCCATTAGCTATTGCCAATAGCTGACTCACAGTTGAGCTTTTAAGAAAACTCCAGAGGCCTTCACCTTTAAATATGATGCCCAGTATCTTCACTTGATTTCATTTTTAGACCATATTTCTTACCTTAAGAACATAAAAGCTGGAGCCAGATGAGAAATGGTAGCCTGCCTTGGAGAAGAAACATGAGAGCTATACACTGCAGGGCTGAATTTCTCCTCTCTTTGATGCTGAGCTAAAAACCTGTCCATTCTGCATCACCTAAGCCCAAGAAAAATCCCTTCTGCATACAAAAAACAGCAGCTTTCTGAAAAAGTGGTGACATGTAAGAAAACCAATTATATCTGAAACTGACAAGCTATAATAAAGCCAAAATACCTCCCACAACTAGGTTGTGAATGATCTTCGGCACAGGGACAGGCAGAAACAGCAAACTTCTCTTACTGCATATCCCACAGAAAACTGGAGACAATCAAACACTGCTGGGGTGGGGTTATGGTTAACCCTCACTAGTGCCAGCACCCGTCCCTGAAATATAACCCACTTCTGTGCTACCTCTTGAACAGTGCATCTCTGCGCTGTTCTTGACCTCAGTGATGTCAACAAATGTGAGTTTCCTTAGGTTTGGCAATAAAATTTAATAAAACTAACTATTTTCCAGGTATGCTGCTATTTCTGGCCAAGAAAAGGAGTTCCATGATTATAAAATATAGCCTTTCCTGCTGCTCCTATTGCCATCAGAGTTAATGCAGCTTTAACACGCATGCGACCAAGACCTATCTACATTGCTATTTGCTGGGACTACATTTTGCTTTGCATTATTTCAGACTTCTGCTAATACTTAGGTAGTTGGCTGTGGGAACACATCTGACTACCGGCTGCCACCGGAATAATCCACATGACCTTTCTGTGTATCAAAGTACAAAAAGAGTCCCATAGTGAATAATAGCATAACTCAGCTAAGCAGGCTCAGGCAAAAAATAAAAAGGAGAGGCTCTCAAATGCAGAATCAGAAAGAACATAGGGGTTTTATTTGCACCTGGCATGGCCTTGCAAGCACATATACTCAGACTTTAGTTCAGATGGTCACAAACTAGCATTGTGTCCATCTACTTCTCCCTCCCACTACTGTGTTAAAGATAAAAGCAATCTACTCTACATGTTTGCTCTCCAAGCTCTAACAAGATCTCTTGGAGCTACAATATCCTGCATCCTCCTCACAACACACTTCTGTGTGTCACACATCACTCCAATTATCCCTGAAGTCACTACTAGTGGCTCAGGCACACTGGGAAACAATAGGAGTAATAATTATCAAAAAACCAGCTGATTTTAGCTTTGTGGTTGGGGCTGTGTAGTTACAAGGATGCATCTGCTTAGTCAAGTGTTATGAGGCAGCTCAGGTAAAGAGGATTGTTTATAGAGATGATTTTGTGCTGTGATGCCTTAATAACCATGGCTCCTTCCACGAAAAACAACATCGACTGCTAGGAAGATTTCTCAAGTGACCTCACGCTAGCACTGGCTCTTCTTACTTCCTCTGGGAACAGGGACCACTCTGTGCCGGGACATGGTAATAGCACACCATCAAGTCAAAAGCCGGACAGTGAGTTCATGTCACATCAGTCAGCATCTGCTGAATTTCAAGGCCATACTGAATTTTCTCTTTTTCCTTTGGGGAGGGGTGTATTTTTTCATTAGTTAAATACCTTGTTCTGAAAAAGCAATTACACAAGATTTCTTTTCCCATGACACTCCCGTATTTGCTGTAGTT